ATCAGGACGCAGGGCGGGTGTTTCCTGGATGTGACGTAGTCGTTCGTCTATACTTTTTTGGTTGGCTTCTTTTTTTAAATAAGTCTGCTGTGCACAATGTTGCCTTTTATCCGCACATTTTCATGGCACAAACGACATTGATCATTTACCAACATTGCGCTGATTCCACTGTTGCTATATCCAAGATGTCAGCTGTTCTGTTTTTTCCTGCGTTGCTCTCACAGCGTCACGGGTTAGCTTTGGTGTGAGTGGTTGAAATAGCACGTCGATAAAGATGACAGACAAGTGGCTTATCCAATCATATGCAAGGAGTTTTGATAAGGCCCAGCCTTCAGTAAAGGCAATTCCTATGGCGGTGTCCCAGATGTATGTGACTGGAGCTAGGCGGAGCGAGACATGCATCTGGCTGTTGTCAGGTTGGGTTAATGAGGCCTCTTCAAGTGTTTGGACACAGGGCCAAACTGTATTGATACTCTCTCACAGAATACTGACACCTGCTGGACATTTAAAAACACTACAGGCAGCCTATTGGACAGACTACGCAGTACACTGATATAATTTTACTTATTGTAGGCTATATCGTATTATTTCATATCTATGTTTAAATTAAAAATATGTTAGATATTTTAAGATGCAGCCAATAAATAATGCAAACATAACGTGAAAATTCAGAGGAAAATGTGAATGAGGATGTTTGTGGACAAGGATTTTAAATAATTTTTAACACAATAAGTACAGTACAAACAGTAAATAAACTTAGAGTGAATTTGAAATTAATTTTAATTCAACAAGAAAATTAAAATAAAAACATAACGGCTGAAACCCTCCTATTCCTTTTTAAGTCAATTGCTGCATTGTAAGTTTTTCTCCACCATCTCTGTTTAAGTGTGGTTTTTCTTTCTTAACATAGATGGCTTCCTTCATAGGTGGTTTGAGAAGGGCTTGAACAAATCATCTATGTTAAGAAAAAACAACTTTAAACAGAGAGGGTGGAGTCAGATTTCAGCTTTCAAAAACCTACAATGCAGCAATTGACTTAACCCCTTCCCGCTATCATTGCAACCCCATCCTCTTTACAGGGGAACAGGCCGACAAGCTGAAAAGAACAGCATTTACAAGATAATTCAGTTCAACAATTCTTTATTAATTCAAATATGAGATAAACAGCAGAACTCCCAACATCCAGGGTTCCTCAGAGACGGAAGGGTCTCCTGTAGAGGTCAGTGTCCCAGCAGTTCTGATCAAAGCTCTACTGCTGCATGCCGTCATAGGAACAGGTGAAGGTGGGCCGTGAAGTTTTTCATCTCGGTGAATAGTTGCCTGGTTCCAGAACATTCCCCACAGCAGAACTGGCCTGCTTTATCAGGTTCTTGTTTTAAGTCACTGGTTCTGAGGCTCCGGGACGGAAACATCACACAACTCAGCCTCCTGGAGAAGCTGCTCTCTGCTAAAGCTTCTTTCTTCCTTTCACAGGGCAGTTCTCCAGAGAGCCTGAGGTGAGCGTGTCCAACGTCCACCCAGGACCCAACCCGCTGAAGAAGGAGGCCACCATGGAGGTCAAGGGTCATAAGCTGCAGGTCACCAGGTACCCAATGTCTCCTCTGAGCAGCAGACGCTAAACTTCCGCAGCTCCAACATCTGTGACTCTGTGTTTCAGAGGCTGGCAGAAGGACTACCGACACGACAGCAAGCGAGGCTTCAACGTCTACTGCTGGTTCATCCATAACAGCGGTAAGGGCTTCATCGACGGCCATTACAGCGACTACATCCTGCCGGGTCTGAGCAGCTTCCTGCCGACGCCCTGATGCTGACCTTCAGGCTCAGGCAGGAGAAGAACCGCCTCCACCACAGATCTACTCTATTCGCTTCTCCACAGAACACAGAGAGAAATTTACCAAATTTATTTGAACAAAATGGACATTTTCAACCATCAATATTGTCAAAAATAAAAGCGATGAAACCAAAATCTTCTGAGGCTCCCTGCTTGTTTGTGTCCAGATGTGGTAATAAACTCTGACACAGTAGAGTCTGACGAGGTTCAAAGGTCAGGCCAGTTTGGAAAAGTCTTCGTAGGCTACTTCCACTCTGTCCCCCTTCTGTGGACCCTGAGGACACAGAGACAAACATTTAGGACTCTAAGAAAAACCCGAATAGAACCAGAACTTCTACTATTGAAGATTTTAGTTTCCTTCTAAAAATAAAGACAAATTCTAGACGGCCCGGTCAGTCCAAAGCCTGATTTAACACTAGAACTCCCAAGGCCGTCATTTTGATGGTTCTCAGTTTTCAAAGGGAAAGAACCTTATTTACATTAACCTTATGTTGCTAATGTTAACTTACCTTTTTCTGTTTCTATATTTCCTTAATTTTCACGTAGTATTTTTAATGAAATAAAGACTAAATATGGTTAATTTTACCTCGATCTCCCACAGTCATCATTTTGACGCCTCTATTAGTTGCACTGCAATATCTTCTCCAGGTTGATTGACGTTGTGTGCCGTCGCCTAGCAACCAACATCCTACCTAGAGCTCTTTGGCTAATGCGGAAAAACGGCTTTCAGAAGAATGCTAACAGCGAAACAGGCTCTAGATATGCTTCGAAATATTGATGATAGAGATTTGTATCAGTGACCCATCAGACAATAGTGAAACTTTTGCAGGGATTAAAGCGACAAAAAATCTTGAGCCTGAACTCTTTCAACACTGGCAAGAAAATATATATATGTGTGTGTTTGTGTGTGTATTTTCAAGCCATGCAAGGGGGCTGTTGGGGCATTGGATCTAACCTGACTCCGCCAGATAGATTTGCTCCGTATATCCATCTGGAAACCTTCCGTTGAAGTAATTTTGGGAAGGGGCGAAAATACTGGTTAGCTGATTGGCCTATGTTGGTGATAGACGGGCCAAATAAACCAATCAGATCAACGAAGCATATGACGTAACAGAGCGACGACGAAGAGGAGCCAATTGATAGATCAAACTCTTGCCGAAACCAGTCGGGAGAAGAGCAAAAACGTCTTTTCCTCTGAGAAAAGCCTCCAGAGCAGTGTTTTGCTCTTCTTTCAGTGAAGAAATACTCTGTAATTCCGATAAAACTTGCTCGATAGCCACGCTAACGCTAGTTTCATCGGCTGAAGCCGCCATGTTCTTTAGACTGAACTGTCGCGCTTCTCGTTGCGTCACACCTCAACCCGCCTCAAAGCCAACGCTGATTGGACGTTCGTTTGGTGAACGGCTCCAAATTTTCTTTAACTGAGAGTCTCCAGACTGATTAGCGAGTGAAACCTTGAAAGCTCGCGAGATCAGGATGGTCTCACCAGGCTACAGTGTATCAGAGATTGCATGAATGACTGAAGACTAAATTTGACTTTTGAAAATCCAATACCCGAAACGGCCAGAAGATGGCAATAGTGCATCTATATCTACCACTTGCATTTACCACATTTCACAGCAGCTTGATGACCGGGGTCTATAAGTCATGTTTGCGTAGCACCGTTTTGCCACTGGATGTGCAGAAGCAAGCGCCTGGTTGACCTAACTCCCTGCACCAGCTGCTAAATGGCTCGCCATCTCGCCCCCTCTCCTCCAGCCATGCCCAGCGCCATTTATTTCTGAGAGCTGTATCTATGGTCGTGACATCTATCGTCCTTTTCTCCAAACACAAAGCTTCATTTATTTATTTTTTTACTTTTTACACATCTCTCCGTTGAATGGATCCGTAAACGGCGCAAGGTGACTATCCGCGTATTTTTTTCCTAAGACCTGCTCCCTTCTTCTTCTGATTGGCTTATACTGTTAGTTTCAGAGCGCTCCTTTGCTACCATTGGCTGACAAACGCAAGAGGGATTTCGATTGTCTTTTTAAAATTTATTTACCATCATTTTATTATCGAGTGATTTTTTTTTTTACCCACAAGCAATCGCTACGAGCCGTAAATTGGAGAGCACTGCCCACACCTCAGCCGGTACAGTCAGTGGCCCAAACCAGAGCCTGTGGTCGACTATAATTACAAACCAGTTGGCATGGATGTGTCTGATCAGATGAAAGTATTCTGTAAAAGCTCCAACAGGAAGGTGGCCTGTGGCTGTACCTTACAATCCTCTGGAAAAGCAGCTATAAACGCGTTTGTTTTGTTCAGGAGCTGTGTGAACGTCACCGTTTAACGCAGAGATTTTATCCTTGAACTGATAAAACAGTCGCGTTCCGACCACACGCACTCTGCAGTTTACCAACCCCTGTGCCGCAGAAGAGCAGCTTTGAAGAAAGAAAACATCGCAGGTATGGAGGACCAACTCTGCCATATTTAAAAATAAATACAGAAATAAATAAATGGTCAATAAATAAATAAGCATACAATTAATTGCCACCAAAAATACAACAAACAAAGAAATGTAAGTAGAAATTAAATTATACAGTGAGACATAAATGTATACAACTCTTTTAATTATCTCTTTATTTGTTTTTGTAATATTTACCTTATCTATTTTTTTGTCCTTTATAATCTTCAACTTTATTTTTTAATTACTTATATTTTTAAGTATTTATTTATGTGCATGTTATAATATTTTTGTCTTTTTTATTCTTCCTTTGTATTTTTTGACCCAGGGCAGGCAGAAATAAATAGCGGCGAAGAAATAACTAGGGTTAAAAAGTACAACATTATTTCTGTATTTATTTTTAAATATGGCAGAGTTGGTCCTCCATACGCAGGTGATTCAGCGCTGCACAGAAAAACGCTCGTATGATGTTTGAGATAAATGTGAAAAGGTGGTCTGGGGGAAATCTATCAATTTCTGTAAATAAAATTGTAATTTCAAATTTCTAACAGTCTTATTTATTTTACTGATTTAGTTTTAGTACAAATTTAGACTACAAATAATAATATATATATATATATATATACAAATATATATTTGGCCTGTTTTTAGGTTCACATATCCATAAGGACTTTATATCGCACACTAGAACTATATCAGTTGATGACATCATCGCTGCTCCTGCGTTTCTTTGTCAGCCGTCAAATTGACGGCCAGTGGGAGTTTTATCAGATCAGAATTGTGGGGGTTCATAGTGTTAAAGCCTGATTGGTTGGGGCTTCAGGGTAGTGAGGAGGAGCAGAACCCACAGAGTCCAGCGTGAGCGTAGCGCTGAAGTTCTTCTCGTCGATGCCCTCCAGCAGCGCCTCGGTGTCGCGGTGCGGCCCGTTCAGGATCAGGACCCGTTTCCCTGCGGGAGGTTGGATTGTTAATGCCTGCAGACGTCGCAGGAGAGAAGCTGCTGGGTGAGAAGCTGACCTGGGGCGGGGATGACCGTCTCCAGGTGGTTCTGGTCCAGTTTCAGTTTGTCCCCGGAGTCGATCATTTTCACCACGGCGCCGTATCTGTCCCGGACCTCCTGGAGACCGGGGAAATCAATGGGTTCAGTAGCGGCCGGACACGACAACACCGAGGTCTAAACCTACAGCCGTTACCATGACGACTGCCTTCTTCTTGTGGTACTTCTCGCCCAGCTTCTTGGTGATGATCTTCACCACGATGTCGGGCTGCAACCAGTAGTCGGTTCTGGACGCCAAGGACTGCTTCTTCTTCTTCTTCTCCTCCATCTGCAGACAGCGGGATCAGAACCTGATCAGAACCTGACCTGAATGTTCAGATGAATCCAAACAAACAATCAGAACCTCAATGATCTCCTCCAGAGCCGATTTCTTCTTCTTCTCCGATCTGGAGTCGGAACCTGAGGACGTTTCTTTCCGTTTGACGGAGGATGCTGCTACCGTCAGGGCGCTCGCTCCCAGAGCCGAGCTGGAAGAGGACAGAGAGACCCCGTTAGGGACAGGAAGGACGCAGCCCTGGCGGCTGTGGTGGGGGTCAGAACCTGGACTTGGACGAGCCGGCCACAGGAACGCTCAGGTTGAAAGCGACTGGAAGAGAAAGCATGAAGAGGTCAGGTTCTTCCTGAGGCCCGGTCCACAGTGAAGAGGTAAACCCACCAACCTTTTTCTTCCTCACTCTCCCGTTTGAGTTCTGTGTAAACGGGCTCGGTCTGCAGAGAAGGACAGAGACGTCAACCTCACGGCTTTAGTGCTACTCGTGCGGCCGGGCCCCGTCGGGTCAGAACTCACGTCTGGTGCCTTGCCGCCCTGGCCTCTTCGGACCTGCTCCTCGATGAATCTGGCGCTCCTCTCCTCGTCGTCCATTTCCTGCTTCTTCTTCCTTGCCTGCTCCTCCTGGCGCCGGATGGTTTCCGGGTCGCGGTCGATGTACTGGATGTACCAACCTTTGGGGGTCTCGTCTACTTTACACAAACCTGGAGATGACAGAACCGAACCTCAGAGGGCCGTCCCAGAACATGCCACATTGTGGTATGGATCACTGCTAGTCTGAATTACTGGGAACACTGGCTGCCTGTGGATCTGAACCTCACCTGGAACGGAGAGACTGGGCCGCTGTTCTGTCAGACCAGCATACCCATAGTCAATACGCAAGCGCAGGACGTCAGATTTGCTTTTATCCCTTTAGTTTTGACCGAAAAATACACTTTAAACCACCTCAAACGTCAGATCGCCATACGCTTCAAAAAACACCCAAAGTAAGTAATTAAATAGTTTTTGTGCATGACTAAAGGGATACACGCCTGTTGAGATAGTTTCATTAAAGTCGTAGGGAAGCGGCTGTTCCAACCGTTGCATTTCTGAATTCTCCCGAGTGGTGCACGACTTTACACGAGTGAATAAAGTCAATGTGATTGGTCGATTATCAAGAGGGCGGGATTGATTAGCATCTTGCTAACCAGTTAGCAACTTAGTGCTAATGTATGAAGGTTGATTTGTTTCTTTATTATTCAATCAAAAAATATATTTTCAATGAAAAAAAAAACTTTTCAATCAAAGAAAGAAAGTATTTGAATGCAAAAATATATTTGAGACTCAAAAAAATAAATTTGAACACTGCTTTTCTTTGATTGAAAATGTTTTATTTGATAGAAGTGTA